ATTTTAAGTGATAATTATAAATGTTAATTATGCAATAACTTGGTAGTAATTACTGATCAAAGGAATGAGGAACTACTTATGACCTGATAAGGTTGTTTATTTATCTAATTATATACTGAAACAAGTTTCGAGTATCATCATTCTGAATCCTATTCTATTAAGGGCTAAATGAATAAACTGAGTTCTTTCTGTAATAGGATTATGGTACTGCTTAGTAATTTCTTAATTGTTTCTAATTAAGTTGATCTTCTAAGTCATCAATAAAATTGTTTCACTGAATTTTTGGTTAATTTCAGTTCAGGAATGTTGTACTCTAAAAGATTAAGATTATTTATTTGTAGGTTTAAAATAGTAACGATATGCGTCAACTAGATGAACATTATTCTTCATATTGATTCAAAAAGTTAGGCTTTATAGTTTTATCAAGGATACATCAAAGATACATTTCCACCATGAAGTGACATAAAATTAATAACTAAAAAATCGGTCAGCTTTGGATATCATTTTCATCTGCAATGCACATCCATAATATCACTGAGATGGAGTCTGTTATGATAATTCGCATAATCATTGAATATTAAATACTAATAACAGATCATCGTTTCCGTTTGATTTCGAATATTTCAACTTCATGCAACAGTTTACTGAATAGAGCACAGACCTACATTCGGTCGAATTTTTGATGAAATACAAGTTTCCTCTTAACTGTTAGGAAATTTTACTGATGCGTACAAACAAATGCAAAGTATAAAACGCTTAAAGCTTCATAGCAAATATAATACTATCATTGTATGCTAGACTGCTAAATTAACACTTGTTTGCTTAAGTTTAAACTCACATTTTGTCAACAACTGGTGTTGACAATATTTTAAAAAGAAGAATTTCCTAACGTACTTAAAGTTACTGAAATTATTACTTAAGTAAAATGTGTACTGTATTCGAATGAATTATAATCGTTTCCTAACAGAAATAAGTATTACAGGCCGATCTGAAGTAATGTTCATTTTTAACAATTTATAAAATAATCTTGTAAGTACTATCATCATACTAAGTAAGATGAACAAGAAAATTTTATAAACTTTGCCATTTGTTAATTTGTTTTGATCAAAATAATGAACCTTAAGTGTTAAATGACAGTTTGCTATCATGAATTATAAAAGAATCTTGAGAATTCTACTCAGATTGATAAAGTCAATTATACTGATTGATAGCTGTCAGTGTATTCTGGGACTCATATGTTATCTTGATTTAAAGCTTATCTGCTTATGTATATCAAATCATATCATATATTTATTTAAATATTACATTTATGTTCATTCGTTCAGTGAGTTACTTGAGCTATTGCATGCGCAATAATAGGAGGCCCACTTGAATTTCTACGCTTTCGTTTTTCTAAACGTTTCTGTATTAACATAAGTTTTCAACTTAAGATTTGTTTTAATTAACTAATTACGCCTGTCAACCTCTTGGAAATAAGGACACTTTATCAGGCTACTGAAGAAAGAGATTTCATTAGGTGTGGGAACTACAGAGAAAGCATAGAACTGTCAAGATGTTGAAGGAATTCAGGCAATGTTGTTAATATTATGATAGATTGAGTAGACTCCCAATTCTGGAACAGCAAACTGGATTTAATGAGGATGGGTCATATACTGACTAAATCACTACACTGAAGATCATTGTTGAACGATCATCAATCGTAGAACACTCATCACTATATGTGAACATTGTTGACTAAAAGAAAGTGTTTGTTAGGGTGGATGGTAGGAGTTTGTGGACTGTTGTCCGACATTATGGAGTGTCTGAGAGTGTCGTCACCATGATACGGAATTCTCACAATGGATTACAGTGGGAACTCATGCAGCTCATAGATCCATTCGAAGTGAAGATCAGTGTGAGACAAGGCTGTCTACTGCTAACTTTTCTCTTTGTTCTGATTGCCGAATGGATTGGACAGATCGGATGTAACATGATGTTTGCCACTTTGCAAATGACTCGGCACTTATATCACATACACAGAAACAAATGTATCTGAAGAGAGGAAGTGCAGCAGTGGCTTCTATATCAGTATTCATCGACATATATAAGAGAAGAAGTGAGATGCTGAAATACAGTACAGTGAGTACCAAGCGAATTGTGTTTGATGGTCATGCTGTGGAAGAGATGCGAGCACTTACATAAGTTGTCAGTATCACTGATAAATAAAGTGGATTTGATACAGTTATGAAGAGGAGAATCGGTAAGGAAGGTGAAGAATATCTGAACATCGAAACAACTGTCACACAACACAAATGCCGGAATTTTCAATACGTGACTTGTCAGTATCACTGATAAACAAGGTGGATGTGATACTGTTGTGAGTAGGTGAATTGTTAAGGCAAATGTAACATTGGTACAAGTGAAGAATATCTGGACATCGAAACAACTGTCACATAACACAAATGCCGGAATTTTTAATACAAGTGTCAAGATAATTTTATTGTACTGAGCTGAAACTTGGAGAACTACTACAACCATAATCAAAATGGTACATGTATTTATAAACATTTGTCTACTCAAGATACTCCTGATGCATTTGTTAGATGCCATCACGAATAATCGACTTTCAACCGTATAAATATTTTACAAATAGAAAATAAATAATTTAAAATATTTTAGGTGTACAATTATTATAACAAAGAAACATATTCAAAATACTCCAGATCCATGAGTCGTCATCATGAAAGATTGACTGTGCCAATAATAGATCATCTTCCATATGATAAGGAATAGTTTAGTGCACTCGTGGCGTTAATGTGCTAAGTTGGATCATTGATAGAATAAATCTCCGGAGAATTCGGGTAGTATAATTACCTAAATGTCATTCACTTCGGATTTATATAGTTTTCTGACTGATTTTGGTCCGTGATGTCACCTACAATTTGATAAAATCTTTTTACACTTTATTTACTTTACAGGAATCATTCGGTCTACTGAGAATGAGTAAGTAGCTAAGATAGATTATTATAAATAATCGGTTTCTGTTGTAGTTTTTGTCTCTTCATTGTCGGAAAGCTTTAAAGCAGATTTATTTCCGTTTTAGCGTTTAAGTTTAAATAAAATTGTCTAAGAGATGCTAACCATTTCCCACTCTTTTTTGATTGCTTGAATTTATGGAAAGTGCCATTCACATCTAAGATTATCTTCTGTCATTTTTTTAACCTCTGGTACTTCAAAAGCATTACCCTTCACCTCGGCTTTATTAAAGACACTTTTTCTCTTTCGGCTTGTTCAGTTATTATGCGTCCTGTGGATAAATTTCATTTTAACTTTAACATTTCTTTTTATCGTATTATAGAACTTTTTCATAGTTATTACTGTTTTTGTGACGTTTATGATATTCTCGATGTGTACTAAATATTTTAACAACAAGATTTACATGAATAAGAATAACCTTTTATTATCTTGTTTAACAAGTGAAGGAAATTCTTCACTGAAACAATTATTCTTACTATTTTGTTTATAAATGTCTCAATTAACTTCAACTGACTGAATTTCACTCATTTTGAAATACATGTCTGTATGTACTAGGTATTTCCAGAATTACGTTTTCAAGGTTTTGTTTAGTTAAGTGAATAACCATGGATTGGTTTACGAACTTGAAGTTTCGAAAAGCAGAATAATTATCTGTTATTACTGTAGTGAAATAATGTGGATTGTTTCATTTGATAGTTAGCATCATGGACTGATCTTGTTACACAACCATCGAAAACCAGGAATCACCATAATGCGTTTTAATTTTTAGTATGGTGAGGATTCGTAGCACCACCGAGGACCGAGTCCTGAACCTCCAGTTTCGTGACGAACGCTTAATCTTTATATCACTGATCTAGAATTCAAGGGTTCATATGTCGCGATGAGGCCATGAGTGTTATACTGTAACGAGGTATTTACCTAGTGCTTCCTGGTTTCCGATGGTTATTAAATTTAAATCAATCCATGATGCTAAACGTAAAATTATCTACCAATTTATTCTGATTTAATAAATAATCAATTACTTTCTGTAATAACAATCGTTTACAGCCTTGTTGATGTTACTGTCACTAAATAGATGTTACTCAACGAAACTGAAGAATAATAGGGCAACTTGGATATGTTGCTTACACCAAAAAAGGATCAAAAAATAATATTTTTCAATATTATGTTTATATAACTTTATAACGACTCATAGTTAGATTTTGGTTAAATTTGACTGAATAGTATTTGTCATTGGATAATCAGTAACTCATTACACGGACTCATTTTTAGGGTTTTGTACGATTTACTTACTACAACTAGCAATTATAACTAATTTATTGAATTCTATACATGGTCTTTCGAAAAACTTTCCTCTTTTGAGTTAAATACAGGTAAATAAGTCTTTTGTTGAGAATTAACTTAAAGAACCGTTACCTTCTTTTATAATAACTCGATCAATATTAGTTGGTTGAAAACTTTCACCAGAAAAGTGTGAACCATTAGAGTGGTAACTGACCTCTTGTAGGACAAAGATATGCACACTAATTCCTTGTTGATTTGTAATAGTATATTTTGATCAATACAAAGGACTGGATAAATGCAACGTTGATTACCATCCCGTAATCAGTTAGTGCACACTTTAATCCTAAACATTGACAATATTTATAAATACGTTGTAAAGTCACATTTATATTGCGGTGTGTGCTAATGATGTCGATAGATATAAATAATATGTATCACCAATCGACAGTAGGATGCTTGGCAATAGAAGGTTGAAATCAAAGAAAAGAGAATGAAAACAGAGAGTGATTGGTATAAAAATGAAGGAACAATAAAGTTGAGACAATTGATAGACATCTTACAAATGAAGCATTTACTGTATGGTTCTCAGATTTTACTATGGGTTTCTGTATTCCCTGCTTATGTTTCCGCTCACTACAATATCACATCTTTATAAACATAATCAAAAATATTGAAAATTAATACAAATCAATATAATATTTCCTGAATTGATTTTATTTTACTTTTAATTAGAAAATTACGATTCTATTATCAAAGTTATATTCATTGAGTAGTTATTGTAGGGTATAAATTAACAATTTCATTGTAACCAATAAAGTAATATAAATAAACTGTAGTGTAACATCATGTGTTTATTTATTTAAACATCATTTATTTAAAGTACTAAACAATGAAACATTTACCAATGATCACGTCAAACACGTTGATACTTGATAGTTGCTACATGCTGCTGAGATTTTATTGTCTAAAAAATTGAAAAATGAAACAAAAATCAGTAATCAGGAGATTATATAAATATATATCAAATGAATATAGTTTGTTATTGTAGTCTTTAGTTCTGAATGACGTCCAATGATAATATATGTGCGATTACTTACAACGATGTAGCTGGAAATTCTGTACAATATTAGTGAACCAACTGTTCATAAAGTTGTTGATAAGAATGACCGATCAAACCGAATTTATATATCTAGTGAACTCGGAATGTTGATGATTTGATGTTAGATAGTCAGAAGCAACTACTGCTAAGTTCTAGACCTAAGTGTTTTAATACTTATTATTTATCAGTAAGGCAATATTAACTATACTCAGGGAGTTAGTGCTTGATGGAAAATAAGAATCTGAGCTATTCTGAATCCCAGTCATCGACGTTATCCATAACTTTTTTGACATCGATGTCTGTCAGGAATAGGGTGTTTAAATTAAGCGTTATGTTAGTAGAAATCATGTTCATCTTGCCTAGCCATCAGGATAGGATTAATTCTATCGATTAGGCTTGCATTGAATTTAAAAAACTTAGGAAAGAAGAAATGTCAAGTTTATTTTCACTATGATTAATTCTCAGTTAGTACGTGGTTCTTGTTTAATAATACAGAAATAAATTCCCGCAGTTCTAGTGAGAAGTTATGACTAGTAAAGTTCAGTCATATATGTAGTGGGAAGACTATCACCGATGTCAGCGGATGGTCGTCACATTGTATCCTGACTGAAGTTGGAAATATAGACCATTGTGCTCTCTGAAAGATCTGAAGGTATTGGATTCCATCTCACATGAAGTCATGAATGCTCATCTCTGTGGAGCCATAAATCAAGACACAACAACTGTCAAATACTTTTTGACTTCTAGTAATTCTTTAGCCTGTATTATTGCATGCTGAAAATATGACTAATATATTTGAAGGCTTTTTGAGCCATGACTCAGTGCTATACATAAATTTACACAAATTTCTTTTTCATGTAATTCGCTCTACTTCCGAACGAGGATATTTCAAATTGTAACGTACATAATTATTTATATTGATCTCAATATTCTTGTGAACCAGTAATTCCATGTTATTTTGATAATTTTTAGATCAGACTTTAGAATGTAAAATGTTAAAATGAAATAATTTCATTTGTCAAACGAGAAATCCTAATATTTATCCATTTGGTATGGGAATATTTTGTTATACCTTTGATGTACAAATTTTAGCTCACTGGAAATGCTAGTATGTCTGCAGAAAGTTGTAATAAAAAAAACGTGATTGAAAAGAAATTTCTTTGCTCGATTCGTTCCTTCTTTATTTACCAAATGTCAAAATGGGAATTTACACTATAACAATATTTGCTAAGAAAATACTCTTGAAATTACAATTTGGAGGTAAAGTTATCTGTTTAGTCATGATAATATTTAGTGTTATCAATCGTACTCTTTAATCTACAATCGTTGGATTTTACAGGCTATTCAAAATCACTTTTTATATTTGTAAATTACCAGCTTAACTTCGCATGTTAATCTAGTTACATCGATTGTACACTTGATTACTGTTATTGTATTTTTGAGCATCATTCATCATGGTTAACGTCAATACTTTATTCTTTGGTATTAAATTGAGTATTTAGAGTAATTTATCTCATAACATCCAGTTTACTTTATGACTTACAGATAAACTGTATATATCATAACTTACTGACTCTTTGTATTCAACTAAAATTGCTCTTACTATCTTAGTTATGAATATAACAGAGGCTTTTACGTAACATTCCATTCAGTAGATTAAGTTAGATAAAAATAGAGGGAATTCAGTGAAGAAAATTTTCTTTTCGACGAAATCATTTATTTAAGTTGTACATTCGTATTTGTAGTTGTATGGTAAATATACATCTAGATAAGGATAAAAAGATTGCATCATAAAATGATTCAAGACTATAGTTATCAAATAAGATTGCGTAATAGTCAAGGCGTTAAAGAAGAATAGGAAAATGAAAAGGATTTACGCGTAAGAATTATGAAAGATAGTTGTCTACTTGAGAGATATGAAAAACCCAAAAGATCATAATAATAAAAACTGAATAATAATCATGAAAAATTGTTTAAGGATAATAGTAACTAATTACGGTTTCAAATTACAAAACACTTTAAAATAATGAAAAAAATGACAATAAAAAAAAACAAACACACTACATAAGGGAATTAGGGTCAAGGAAGGATGAGAGGTTACACGTATCACTTTTTACATTCAGAGTTCGTGCTTGAGTTGGTAGATTGTCAATGCCTCAGCGATGTATAAGATTTTGGTTCGACCTCCCATCGATCCAAGTTTTTTGACTGTGTTGGTTACTTTAAAAAAAGCTCATTCAGAGCGATGTATCCATAGCTGATTAAATGTTCCTGTATTGAACTAGTAATTGTTTTACATTTTCCTCTTAAAAGCCATAATGGGAAGTGTTCTGAGATGCGTTTAGAAAGTGATTGCTTTGTGCGGCCAATGTGGCCTACCCCACAGGGGCAAGTAAATTTATAGATGCACATTGATGTGACCCAAGTCGGAAGGTTATCCTCAGCACATCCGTGAATAATAGGCCGGCTAGAGGGAAAAAATATGGAGTTTAGCCGAGTAGAACGTTTTATTCAGCGACTTTGAAATCCATTTATCCAGCAGCCGTATCTCCTTTAAATTCGATATTCATAAAAACAGTTTTCTTTTGAACTGTTAGTGCTTCTTCCGGATGTTATCTAGGGATTAAGTTGGCCTACAAATGACCTTCCATTCCTTTTTCCAAGTAGTATTTTTCATCTCTCTCTTTATTCTTACATAACTATATTAGTTAATACTTAGTCGGTTGATAAAGCTTTTCAACTTCTTACACTTACTTTCACGATTTATTACGCAATCAATCAGTTTCCTAACGATCAGTTTTGATTTCTTTATTTTATAAGTTTGTTAAATTTTATAATTAATCTAATGAATTAAATTCACTTTGTATTGCTTACTTGAATCTTCCCACTGATATTTAGTACTGTAAATGATCAGTCTGTTGTTGGCATATGTGCATCCGGTGCGGACTGCCTTGGCATTGCCTTAAGTCACAAGCTTTATAAGCAAAGATGGATGGTGGCTGGTAATGGAATCCATAACGCGCGTTTCGTCCTATTCGGGGACTCGTCAGGTGGATGTACCGACATCACAGAGTTAATGTCCACTTTAAGACTCAAACACAGTACTGTTCGCTTCAAACACTTAGCCGCTGAGTCACCCCACTATACAAACAAGTGGATATCAGGACTCAGTAGCCAAGTGGATAACGTGACGACGTTTGAAGCGAATGGCACTGGGTTCGAGTCCCGGGGTGTACATCAACTCCGGGATGCAGGTACATTCAGCTGACGAGTCCCGAATAGGACAAAAGGTGCGTCCTGGATTCCACTGCTAGCCACTATCCATCTTTGATTATAATCTAATTAATTGTAACTTTTTTTAATATGACGTTATTAATTGTTATTTTATGAGTAATTACAAATTTTAAATGAACTTACTATTATTTGACTTGCATGTATCTTACTGTTGACTGACTTTTGAAAATTGTGTACAATTCGATAGCAATTTTTTAATCTAGCAAAAACTGAGAACTTTTCATGAAAACTGAATAACTAACTCATTCTACTTTAGAGGAATATTTAGCACTACATACCTACAGTCTTGGATAGTCAGCCAAGTTATTTAACAAGACAGTAGTTTATTGGATGGTATTTATAAAATATGTTTAGGTCTATAATATAAGCTGACTGAAATTTAACGTATGCTGTATTAATGACTCAACAGTTTTATACTCTCTATTGGACATAAAGATGTTGGTTGGTTTGTATGTGATCTACTGGAGATGCTCAATCTATCGTTTGTACCAAACAGGACGCATCAGTTCCCCCGAAATCTCTGGCAAGTGGTGATCAGGAGTCCCGATTGTCAGGAAACCCTAGTTCAGGTTCTACTAAAAACTATCTTTATTAACCCAACACAGTGCGTACCGTGTTACGCTACTTTGACTAGTGGATACATCAGAATTTGATCGATAGAATCAAATGAGGACTAAGATCGGATGACCATGATATTTATCATTATTCAATGACTAATCAGTATAGGCATAAAGGTTGTTAATTGGGTCTTGTGTGAATTAGCGAATACATAATATTGATGCTTCAAATAACAGAAATGAATAGCTATCCACTTATCTCTGGTTCTCATCACTTCTATAATTAGTGCCATTTTGAGATAAGAATTTCTATCATACAAATTAAGGATTTTCTAACTTGTATATTTGTTCAGATATATAATGAGTAACTATTGTAAAGAAAATATACTTTTTCGACATATTGCTCTCCTAACTGATAAACGTAACTTTTCAGTTTATAAAACTATACTTATTCCAGAGCGTTTGTGTAGATTAGTTTATATCTAAGTTGGTTTTCATCGTAGATCGTTATAAACTCTAGAATCCATTTATCTAATAGATTATAGCGTTTAGTTAAACCTAGAACAAATATACTACATATGAGTGCTCAAAAACTTAATTAAGTAATATTAGACATGATCAAATCGAGAAAAATGTTTAGGTATGAAGCGTTCACAATATGAATTTCTGTAAATATGATAAATGAATAAAATATACGTGATCTAATTATTGAGCTTATGTGAATTCCATAAAAAAATGTTTATTTGAAACCTTAATGATATACATTATAATTATGTACTCAGATTTATCTACATTCATTCATTAGAAGAATTCTTTTGTGAATTACATGATTTATTCAGTCGACTGTTCGTCAGCTAACGAAGAATTTTATACACGAAGCATAAATGTTAATTGTGATTACGAATTAAATTTACCGATACAGTCATGTAATAAAATACACTTTTTATATCAATAATAGATTGTTCAGTTTGATAATCATGCCATATGGTGCGATTGGTTTAATCTAGTTGCAAACAAATAATATCTGTTGTGTAATCTAATAAATATTAAGCGAATGTACGTTCTGAAGATGTAATTTAAGAAAATGATGATGAAATAAATTTCTAAAAATGACTCGTTTTACTTATTAGTAGTTTATTTGCAGCCTAGAAAATTATTGAAAATATACGTTTTCCGAAGTTAATTTGAAAAAAGAATTACGAGGGTCATTAAAAAAAAAGAATCTCTTTTACTTAGATACATTCGAAATCAAAGGGTTTTAATGTCATTTTTTTCAATACAACTCGAGTGTGGTTGGTGTTACTTCGATAACTATGAAAGTGTCATCTGTGACGTTAATACCACTTAACAATCTCTGCAAACCGCCTATGTTGTAGTGTTAATTATTTGTCCATTAGTTACTAATTTCGAGTGATAATTCGTGGAATTCTAGTAGTAAGCTGTGACTGGTAGGTTTTATTTATGTCCAGTGTCAGACTGCTAGCACCTGAAGACAATGGAAGGTGGTTGTAAAATATGGATAATTGATTGAAGTTCGACATGTAAACCCTTAGATTTTAGATCAGTGATCTAAAGATTAAGTGTTCGACTTGAGATCGAGGTTCTTGGGACTCAATAGTTGGTGGGAATGAAGACGTTCAATGATGAAAGCCCTATTCTATAACGAAGTGATTGCCTGGTGTTTCCTGGTTCTCGATGGTTGTTTAACTAATATCAATTCATGATGTTAATTATCAGATCTACAGTTAGCTCGAATGAGTGGATGAATGCAAGTGACTGAACTTTGCATTTCTAAAATAGTGAGATTATTATATTAAGTTTATTCAATTATTATTTAAAAAAATGTAAAACTCACTGTCATCAGTGTGTCGCCATCAACTTCACGTGTAATGACAGTTTCCGTAAAGCCATGTTTTTGTACATGTACCATTTTCTTGTCTGATTCAATGGTCACAATAGCCTATTAGACAGGAAAAATATAGTTAATTTAGAATAAATTTTGAAAATAAACGAGATAATCACAGTCTAATTTAAATTTTTCGTGTTAATTTATTAACGGAGAGACCTGCGGACTACTGATTCGAGGTTATTATATAGAGTTTTAGCTGAATATTGCTGGGAAATCCTTGACTAGAATGAAACAACTATTCAATGTTTCATAGTATTTAACTATCCTCCACCTAACAAAGTCTGTAATAGAAGCTATCTTCAAAGTAATTAAACTCAACAATTTCTCATGTATTATTATTTTTTAAGCCTTAAATTTTGTAACTACAAGTACAAATTACTTTAAATGAAGACCAATGAACAGCCCGACGAATTTATTTTTTATAAACACCAGACTTGATTCTCTCCATTCTATGGATTAAATTACTTACTTTTGAAACCCAGAGCGATCGTAAATTTCATACCTAGTAATTCAAAATGAGAACAATTCCAATAGCTTACTAGGAGCTGACAATTATGTTGAGTGATAGAAAATATTACTCTAGAGAAATCACAAGTTGTATATACCTACTACGTATACTGATTATTCTCCGACATATTATCATTAGAAAAAATGATTTGAAGAAGTGTAGTGATAAAATTTTCTGACAAGATAAGGATTCGGTCTTACAAAAAGTGTTCACAAAAATAGGTATTACGTAGTTCCCGAAACCCATCATATCATTTGGTCATAAAACTGTAATTTAATGGTTTGCATTTCGAACGTTAGTTATTTCGTGATATTGTTTGATCATTATAGATTATTATCTATACTATTTATCTCATTTGGGTATTCATTATCTACTAATTTCTTGCGATTCCCAAATAGTTACCCGACCATGACGACAAAGTTACTCCAAATTTAGAAAAATCATAATTATAGATAGACTTTGTATAGTTTAACACAGTTAAAATAATTAACACGTTCATTTGAATCTGAAGTAAATATTATTGCATAATAATGAATTCTGATCTATTTTATTTTGTTCTCTTCCTAAATTATCTTAGAATCCAATCTTATTATTTTTTGGAAAATGATTATCAAAGGTAAATTTGTGCTTCACAAGTCTGGTAAATTACGTTGTTGGAAGGAAAATTGCAAACTCCATTGGGATACACTAAATTATTTATGCTGACTCGGGAATAGAACAAATTTCTGATCCAAAAAGCTAGTTGTCATTTTGAAAGCAACGATTAAAAATAAAAAATTTATTGATTTTATGAATGATTATATTTGTGACTGACTGCTTAATTATCTTTCTAACTAACATTCATAACTTATACGTATTTGATAAGTCTTCTAACAACTTCAGGCTAAGTCTACACGACAACTTGAATATGAGAGAATAGGTGAGAGGTGTGAAAAGAACCTTTAATCAAAGATTAGTTTATGTATAGAAAATCGAGGGTGTTTAAAGTATTTCAGTCGGCCTTAGGCTTCTGAAGGTTTCTGAAACCCTACTAAAAATAGTAGTAGGATTAGTAACCATCCAAACAGAAGTGTGATATGTGACGTTTCATTTCCTAGATGTTTCTGAAAACTTCTGCTCAACGCTGATAGGATCAGTCCCTTATTGAATTGTATTTGAATAGTTAATTATTTATCACTATTATTATTATTATTATTATTTCATAAACAGATAACATAGAAAGATAAATAGTGATTCTTGTTTTAGTAAAAGAAAAGTGAATCAAGTCTACTATAATCAAGTCAATTTATTGTCGTATTTAAATATAGAAATAAATTTAATTAAGCTCTGGTGTAGGTTACTTATATTCACACAAGTAGTATATAACGGTGGTCAGACATAGAATATAGTTCAGTAGAAGGTCGATGAGGAAAGAACGGGAACGGAACGCAATTGGTATGAAAATGCATGAACAATGAAATCTGAGATAATGGACTGAGGTTTGCAACAGGAAAAGTCAATTTTGAGATCATGAATTGATATTTTGTAAATTAACGATTTACGATATTGTTCTCAGATTTCAGTGAGATGCTCTGTAATACGGTTGTCTCCATTGGTGTTCTGTTCATTACAAAGCTAACATATCAACTAATGTTTAGTGGTAAAATTGAAAGTAGCTGATAGTTTATGGAATATCTTATTTATAACATTTTTAAAAAGTTTTCTTAAATTCACTTAAAATTGAATTTAAATTAAGTGAATGTAAACTATTGGTTATCGACTTAGTGATTTAAAGGTCATGCGCTACCTGGAGAACTTTAAGGTCTATACTTTGATCACTGTCCAAGCTATGAATACATACTACTGATGAGTCCTACATTAAGACGAAGCAGTTGTCTATTGTTTCCTTGTTTTTGAAATTATTCAACAAAGATCAATTTATGGTGTAAATTATAAAATTAGGTTAAATGATTGTTACTAAATTTATGGAATAATCACTATCCTTTTCAAAATTCATCTTAGTATTATGAATAAGTACTTTCAATGATACTGAAAGCTTATACTTTATCTAACAATGATAACCGTAATTAAGATTTTAGTTCTCTTGACTTTTGAGTAATCTTACAATTGTATAAGTGTTTTATCTGATTTTTAATTACTTTTATTTTGCATGAAACAATTGATACGTATGTGTATTATTTTAGCAGAATAATGTTTTATGAATCATTTATTCTATCATCTGATATCAGTTAATTTGAGGGACTTGTGTGACCAATCTTATTCTATAGAGTAATCATTGCTGAAGAACATGTCACTTTGACGAACATAATGCATATGATGCGTTTCCTTCACAACATCATCATCAGTTAGCAAGATTAACATATAAATAACATAGCCAAATTATCATTTTGATATCTGATGATGTAAGATTCAATGCATGACGTGATCGGTGGTGTACATCGCTAACGAGTTTAACACTAATGGGAAATAACTGTCTATCACTTGTTTTTATTTTTAAAATGTTCATCTTGGTGACGTTCGCCAACGATAAAAATTAACTTCAAACAGAACTAGTCATTTGATAAGGGATATTTGTAAAATTCATATTCAACAAACATATTTATATAGATCGAAAATTTAACACAATTAAATCTCATAGAATAAAGTATAGTAGACTGTTTAAATAGTAGACATATCTCTCACTTGATCCATTCATATTTATTATACTTATGTAAAAAAATGAGTCGTTTGTCTACCGAATAATGGTTCCTTAATGATGATCTTTATTAAATAGGGTTTAAGTGTTATGTATAAAATTTATGGACGAATGGAAAGAAAGCCTTATAATAAAGTTTGACACTAATAACATCGTTCTTGAAAAAAAAACCCCAACTAATTAGTAAGATTTAATAAATCGATTAAAAACGGAGAACGAATTAAATGTATTATATTTTCGTGCCTTATTATCCAAGATTTGAACTATGATCGAAAGTCAGTGTATTTATATCATTGAAGTCTAATTTAATTCCTTTCACTTAAGTTCTATAGTCATTAATTTTTAACCAACAATGGACGATACTTCGAAAGTAGTTTAAATTACTGAATAACTTCAGCTAGAAAACTATTGAAAGTTCAGAAATACTGTTCAGTTATTTTGTTCTAATAAAAAGTTTCTTAACCATATGTACTGAAAATCTCCACAAATAATTTGATACTAGTAATAATGATGTGCTTAGTTGTGACTTAATTGTAGAAAAATAATTTCAGTAGTAGATATTAACTTTTCATAAGTTTCAAAGTAGGTTAAAATAACTTTCCAATGTCTTAATAATTTTCAACTATCATTCAATTAGTGCCATTTCGTTTTAATAATTATATTTAATTATAAAAATTTATCAATGTAACTTCTCAGTATTTTGTTTCTATACAGTATAGCTTAAGAATTAAAGAATGTAGAAATTTGAATTTATTAAAGGCTGTACATTCCAAGTGTTATTTGTTTTTGATGGATTGGTTGTTTAGATGTCTTGTTGTCTTCAGCTTTATACTAATCATATAACCTCTCAAGTCTATATACTTCATCTTATATTGAGATGCATAGATGAATGTAACTGCATCTATATCTACGGAGATCTATGTACATACAGTTGAAAAGTCGTAAATTAGATGATAAACCGTTTTTAGATCTCATCCTTATTTAATATGAAATAGGTATCTATATATAAAATGATTACAAATAACAGAATGACCAATTATTGACAATACAATGTTTAGATGATAGTGTTTTAAACTCACGAAAACAACAGTACTTACAAAATAGATATATTTCCCATTTAATTAATCAATCTTATTCCAACAGAAGGATTATGCAAAATCAACTTCAATTTTACTGTCATGATTTATTAACTAGAATATTGTAGTTAAATGCATGTTTAGCTAACTCATCACTCGTAAAGGTTTGGATAATCCTTGAGAGAATACTTGCTAAGTTAGAAGGCATCATGCCTAGATGGTTAAATGGATAATGAGGTAACGTCTAACGGAAACATGCATAAGGTTGAATTCTCAGTATAAAAGTCGATATTGGGATACAAACACATCTAGCTGATAAATCTCAAATAGGACAAAATGTATACCTAAGATCCCACTATTAACCACTATTTAGAAAACACAATGAATATTAACATTTCAATGAAATAAAAATATTTATAAATCAATCATAACAGAGGAAAAAGATGACAATCCTTGAATTCAATTTTTTTTAAAATCTGTTTTTTTAATTATTATTTTACTTTACTTACTCGAACGATTCGTCCATCAAATGTTAATTCTTCAACTTCTTGACCCAATTCAAATGATTGATCCAGTTCTTGATCACATATTATCATTTTTATACGTACTTCGTTATCATCCAAATCTATGATCATATTTGATTTCATTTTATTGATAATATTATATACATCATTAGGAGTTCCTGATTATTTTTTAAAATTACAAAATAAAATTGTTTTATAAGTAGTCACCTAATTCACTAGACAATTCTTCCACATTGGAACTTTCAAGATATTTCCATGTTCCAACTAATTCAGTCATTTATTAATTAGAGTAATAACTAATATAGAAAGAAAATTTTAAGTGAAATAAATAGTACATTAGATTGTTCGAATGATTTTATATAAATTTTGAAATTACGATTTATAATTTTAAAATGAATGAATTTGGTTGGATTTTAATTCATATTACCATGACAAATAACCTTGACTTATTAATTGAAATGAGGAAAAACATAAACATATATTCAAGTACGTTGTATATATATATATATATATATATATATATATATATATATATATATATATATATATATATATATATATATATATATGATAGAAATGGAGGTTCACAATGTCTGTAATTACTAACTACCTAAATTTCAGAATAGATCTATATGTGTACTAGTTTTATTCGTAGTTCATTTCAATGGATAAATGAATGAATATTTTTAAGGATTAATATGAAACAAAAATATATTTTTATCATAGTCTTGTGAAGATTATGGAATTTCACATTTTACTTCACAGGTTGACCTTAGTTATACAAGCACATTGTAAACCAGAAAGCAATAGATGGCTGTTGCATGTAAAATGTGGAATTGACAACACCTTATATGCTTGCCAGTAACTTATTTAGATACTCAAATCCAGAATTCTAGTGAGAAGCTGTGACTTGTGAGCTAAACTGTGTCGAGTTTAGGATAAATATTACCAGTGACAATGGGTAATGATCACGCAATATTGCGAAACGATTGTAGCTAGATGTGTAAACCATTCGATATTAATTCAGTGGTCTAAAGGGTAAGCGTTCTCTTTGACGCATAAAGGTTCTGGTTTCAATCCCTGGTAGGGTATTGGATGCACACTACATAGAACTCACATGCTGGAACTAAAGAGCTGTCCAGTGCTTCCTGGTTTTCAGTGTTTGTCTCACTAAAATCCATTCATGATGTATACCATAAAAAATTTGTTTTTCATAAGTAATAAATGTAAATTTCGATGAATAGGGATATATTTTCCAAGAAATTGACTTAAAATCGTAGTGTATTATCTAAACTAACTTTCTTCAAACAACCTCAGTTCATTACAAGAAAATCGTCAGGGGTTAGATCATAAAGGATGAAGTTCAGCCTGATGAGTTTCTTCTGAATTTAATCTTTAACACCTACTGAAATAATCTAGAGAACCACTTTAAAGCAAGAGGTCAGCCGATATTTCTCTCGACCCAATGTTGAACCCACATCAATATACACTCATTGTGTCACACAAATTGATCCCATTTCCTTTAGGCCTTATGCTGAGTATGATATCTTCAGACTAATAAGTTGGAACTCAATAATTCACGTTTCTAAAGTCAGTTGGGTTTGGAAAATTGTATGATATTTTGTAATGCTACTGATAAAGTAGCAAATCAGGTCTCATAAAATAGTTTGAATGAAGGAAGTGTGCACGAACAATGTGATTCAAACAATAATCTCTCAGGAAAGTCCAGCAGACCAATATAACCAGCTATGATAATTTATGGGGAAAGCCAACCACTGAGGTGGGATATATAGGAGTGCAACAGGTGTGTAGAACACTTTGACGAATTGTTAAATAGACGACGGTTGGTGTAAATGATGGACTTAGAGACAGCACACACATACGTTTCTACAAATATCACGCTGCCAACAAGTAACGAAGACGGAATAGCTAAAAGTGAAATGAATATTGGGAAAGCATCAGTAAGACCAGAAAACATGCCAGCTGAAGCATTGAAGTTGGACACAGACGTATATACGAAAATGGTCCACACACTATTTAGAAAGATTTGGCGTCAATAACAGAGACTAGAAAAAAGATACTTTAGGTGAGGTTTTGTTCCCTGAGCTGGATAATTTTGTCACGGATCATACTTTGGTCTTCTGAACAACATCTCACTTCCATATGAAGTTTGTGCTGGTCATTTTTGGAAAGACAATGAAAGCTCTACTACCAAACCACCCAGTTTAGAGAACAAGTTTCCACCTAAATTAACCATCTGAGCTACAAATCTTCTCCATTACAAGGATACTTTATCAGGATACCGAAGGAGAATTCAGCAAGTGTGGGAAATAGAGAGACATCACATTATTGTCAAGATGTTAAAGTTTTCAATAGTGTTGTTGAATCGTATGATAGATTCAGTAGACGTTTAACTCTAGAACAACAAGCTAAATTTAGTGAGGATTGGTCGACTGACCAAATCATGACACTGAAGATCATTGTTGAATGATCGTCAATCGTAGCACACTCATCACTATATGTGAACATTGTTGACTATGAGAAAGTGTTTGTTAGGGTGGATGGTAGGAGTTTGTGGACTGTTGTTCGACACGATAGAGTGGAGAAAATTTGTAGCTCAGGTGGATGATTTTGGTGGAGTTTGTGAGACAAGACTATCTACTGCCAACTTTTCTCTTTGTTCTGATCGTCGGATGGATTATGAAGACCCCGACATTTGAGTAGAAGCACATAAAACATTGCACAGATTGGATGTAACATGATGTTTGCCACTTTGCAAATGACTCGGCACTTATATCACATACACAGAAACAAATGTATCTGAAGAGAGGAAGTGCAGCAGTGGCTTCTATATCAGTATTCATCGACATATATAAGAGAAGAAGTGAGATGCTGAAATACAGTACAGTGAGTACCAAGCGAATTGTGTTTGATGGTCATGCTGTGGAAGAGATGTGAGCACTTACATAAGTTGTCAGTATCACTGATAAATAAGGTGGATTTGATACAGTTATGAAGAGAAGAATCGGTAAGGAAGGTGAAGAATATCTGAACATCGAAACAACTGTCACACAACACAAATGCCGGAATTTTCAATACGTGACTTGTCAGTATCACTGATAAACAAGGTGGATGTGATACTGTTGTGAGTAGGTGAATTGTTAAGGCAAATGTAACATTGGTACAAGTGAAGAATATCTGGACATCGAAACAACTGTCACATAACACAAATGCCGGAATTTTTAATACAAGTGTCAAGATAATTTTATTGTACTGAGCTGAAACTTGGAGAACTACTACAACCATAATCAAAATGGTACATGTATTTATAAACGTTTGTCTACTCAAGACACTCCTGATGCATTTGTTAGATGCCATCACGAATAATCGACTTTCAACCGTACAAATATTTTACAAATAGAAAATAAATAATTTAAAATATTTTAAGTGTACAACCATTATGACAAAGAAGCATATACAAAATGAAATCTTATTACATTTAGCATTTAGACTAAGATACTTATAAGTCTTGAAATGGAGATTGGGACTCTGTTTGACTTTCTTGAAATTATCGAACAAAGTTATTGAGTTCTTAGTTATTTTCAGTTAATATTTTATTTTATAGTAACAAAGAGTATGTAAAGTTATTTATTGAATGTATTTATTAAACTAATAAAAAATATAAACAAAAGTAATCTCTTAACTTTACCATGAAAATCTTAGTCTGCTGTGTTAGTAGGATGATTTAAAATCATTACTAGCTACTATCTAATGTTTTGAAACAAACAAAATATGTTCTGCGTAAAACTAGACGTTTGTCTACTCAACGTACTCTAGATCCATTTGGGAGATAGTATCAGAAATAATTGATTATGGCAGAGGATAAAAACTAGCTTTCAGCTGAGGATGAAATCAGGAGAAAACATTGGAAGTGGATAAAACATGTATTGCAGAAATCACTGAACTGTATCATGAGGCAATCCTTAACTAGGAATGTTAAAATGAATTATAAATGTTGCAAATCAGTAAACAATTTGCATTGGAACTCTGAGTCGTATTTATTTATTTATTTATTTGAACACATAAATATTGGTACAAGAGGGCACCAAATATATATGCGCCACACAAAACAATGAAAATTTGAAGAGAAGGAAAAAAAGTAAGGAGCGTAAAAAAAGGAACAATAATGTGCTGATTAGTGTAAAGAAGTGCAATAATAATAATGGGGGAAACGAAAAGGTACAATCAGAAGAAATCTTTCAGTTAAGGAAGAAACAACCACTTTTTATGAAGAAAGTAAAAGAAGGTTACAGCAGGATTGCCATTGGCTTCTATTTTGAGCCATATCAGATAACGTCTCTAGCCACTGTGTTGCACCATCTCTCGGACCTCAGCCAGAGAGTCAGAGTCGGACATGAATGGTATTTGTGAAAAAATGAAAATGAGAGACTAGAACAAATTGGGTCTAAACTCTTTCCCTATTCAGTCCACTCATACTTCATGAATAATTATAGACTTAAGTAAGTTATAAGTAGTATCTTTTATATTAAACATTCTCTCTACTTTATTACATTTATCAAATCACATTAATAAAATAAGATTTATTAGTTAATAAATTAGAAATGGAATGTCAACTATTTAAAATTTATGAATAATATCATGTTTATAATAAATGCATAGATTCTCTTGTTTAAATTTTTATTACCATGAACCTTATCTCCTTATAAATTTTAATTCATTAATATAAACATAAAAATTTGTATTTAATTAAAGTATAAAACTGTAATTAAAATGTTCTGATTGATTTTGTTTATATTAAAGATAATATAGTAAACATAGAGAATTTGGTAATGTGAAAACACATACATCAATTCAATGTGTATATAGTTTTTGTGAGAAAAAACAAACAAACAACTGTACATTTAGTACTATTCTAATATTGATGATTAGAATTTTTGTAATATTTATGAACTTGTTATAACTAGAAGGTTGTTCTTGATATACCGCGTATAACGGGAGCACTAGAATGCCAGAACCCTTCCAAGTCACAATGAGAAGACAGAAGACTAATGGAAGGAATATTATTCCCAGACAGTGTTAATTATAGTACAAAATTGTCAGGTATTTATAGTTTTTAGTAAGAAAAAATCATCATTACAGTCCTCCAATCCGTATACAGGGGGTTATTAGCATTGTCAATCGGGAAGCTGCACGTAGGAATTCTAGAGTATTCTTCCAAAAGGTGATTGGATGGAATATCTTCGGCTCCTTCTGAGCCTCCTACAGCTTCTTTGAGTTTACCCGTGGTCCCTCGTCACAGAACTA